CGGGGGCAAGCAGCTTAGATTAGTCATGTTCCGTCACTGGTAGAAACAGGTTGTGACATTCAGTCCTAAATTTTCAAGTTCCTTCTCACCAAATGGTCAGCCCAAGCCAGCTTTCCAAAGAACAGGCTGAGAATAAGCACCGCGCTCTCAGGGGGCAGCCCCCTGTATAACCTCACTGCTGCTCTGCACAGGGCGGGGCGCCCCGGGCGGGGACAGTGTGGCCGTGGGACACCTCGGGGTGCCGGGCCCTCTGTGCTTGGAAACAAGACAGACCACATGGCTTGCGTTTGCGACCCAGGGCGCCGCCGAGGATCACAGGCCCCTTTACAGACTGGAAAGGTGGTGGGTGGTGGCCCAGGTCTGGCCCGCAAACCTGGGGAAGTGGCTTTCTTTTCGGCCATTTGTGGCCATGAGCGGCCAGCTTCCCCTGCGGGAGCCCCGCCTTGGCTCCACCTGTGGCCGGGAAGCCATCCCCACGGTCTTGGCAACAGTCCCCGTCTCCTGTCTGAGCAAACTACTTGGCCTTCAGCCTTAGACTTTCTTCGCCGGGGAGCTCAGTTAACACGCTGTAAAACTGAGTGGCTGCAATTATTTTCCTCTGGTCTGCTGGAAAAAAAGAACAGCTTCGTGTAGAACCGAAAAAGGGAAATCACTTCATCAATCTGATTCCCAGGCGGAAACAACCAGTGTCTGAAAGGGCAGCGTCCCAAGGCAAGCTGGGGACGGGTCCCAGTGCTGTCGCCTCACCGTGGGGGGTGGGGGGGCAGACCCCTCCTCCCCCCCCCACCCCCACCTTGCACTACTCCCAGCTGGAAGCCTACCGAACAGGGTTCTCAAACCCAGCTCCCTGCCTCGCCCCCTCTGCTGGAGCTTCCCGCTTCGGAAGCTGCTCTGGGGATGGAAAGAAAATACACACCCAATTGTTCCCTCCTGCCTTCACTACCTGGAATGAGCCAGGTGTGTGAGGGGCCCCGGATCAGTGTCTCCTGAATTATTACAGGAGTTTAACTCGGCCAAGTCCATCAGTTTAAAAAGAATCCCAGTTTTACAAAAGGAAATGGACCAAGATTTGAGGGGCAATGAGGCCTACTCAGTAGGTCCTGAGTTCTACAGGAAAGTGAACAATGTGTTAGGTTTTGTTTTCCATCATTAGTCAAAAAATCTCGTTAAAGAACTGTAAAATCTGAGAGGAAATATCAAGTTGTTTATCCCAAATTATCTTGGTTCCAGTCTGTTTCACGAGGGAAGATGTTACTGCAGCGAACAGTAGATGATTCTAGACGTTAGACTGCCGCTTGTCGCCCCTTTAAAGAGTCTTGGTTTAAGGAAAGCCTATTGGAAATCTTCTCTTGGGCTAAAATGAGATCTATCCTGTTATGTTAAAACTGGAATTTGACACTTAATGTGGACATTTTTGCCTGGGGCGGTCTGACCAGACAGGAGAGAGGGGCATCCTGGCCAGGGGTGGGACAGGAAGGCAGGCACTGGGATGTCCAGGTGACACTGATCCCAAACTTGTTTCGATCCCAAGACGGGTCGGCTCCACATCCTCCACCTGCTCAGCACCCAACTCCCAGCGGCAAAGAAACTCCCCCTTGTTCCCAGCAAGCTGCAGGGGCCCCGGCCTGGTGACGTGCCACTTGCCCTAAGGGCAAGGCCTG